GACCATTTCGACGATCCTAGCTGCGTGCCACCGTCAATGCCGTCCATCGCCGTCTTTGGGGTTGTGTGAAAGCAGAAAGCAACAGATCCCAGTCTCAATGTACAGTTTTGATAAGAAATTGTGCTAAACCCTTTAATGAAATTGGTTTGCTCTATTGGCTTTCTATTCGTTTTCTGCGATGTGATTTCTGTGTAATCATAATTTTGGCCCACCCTGTATTGCTCGATTTTGGTTTCCTTCTGGAATGAACTGTTCAATCGAGAGTCACCATCCAATGAAACCACTGAGCATCAAAGACGTTTTCCCATTCAATTACCGGGTCGATGTGCTCAAGATGAAAATTTTTTATTCGAGCCTTCGAGCTAACAGATATTTGTGGCCAGCCTATCATGACTCTAATATTACTTTTATTTCTAACAGAGAGGTATTATACTTGAGAACGTCGAATCACCACATCGTACTCTGTACAGAGTTTAATCAAAGATTATATTTATCCACAATTTATACAGTATAAACGCTATGCATTGAATGAGGTAGACTTGAAGACGACTTGAATTTGAGGAATTTCGTCCGGAATGTCGACGACAAGGACAACAGAAGCCATGGATTCGCTAGGGCAAAACTGTCGGCTGATAACGTAAGCATGATGATTACAAGTGCATGAGCGTCCGTTTGTAGAGGGAACACGTTCAACGCTAACATGCACTGAAACAAATTTACCTTTATTATATTTGCAGTTATGGTATTTAGAGGAAACTAATAAAAGAAAGGCTCTACAGGGGATTGAAATCTTTTTTATCGTCATGGTTTTTTTCATAAATGAATAAATTATTACAAAGAAGTAGCTTTTGTACGAATTGAATTGGAAACCAACTCGAAAGAAGGGATTGCTAGAGGATCTATACAGTACTCCTAGCCTATAGTTTCATAGCTATTATGTCCGGCTGACGTTCCTGACAGGATCCTCTCGAAATTGAAAGAGAAGGATTAAAAAGAAAGTCCGATACCTGAAATATCGTCATGGAAATGATGGCGAGTGTGAACGCTGACGAGTAAACCAGAAGATTCAACTGCAGTCGACGAGCCATGGCAAACTGTTGATCGAAAATCTGTAAGAAATCATATCGGGGTCGTCTTGGAAACAATGACACCCTTCGTGATAAAATGTACCCTTGGTCAGAATCGCCAGTTCACGATAATCTTGAGGTACTTGTTTTATTCGAAAAGCGGAAGTATAGATTGGGAGTAGTTCATCGTTAGTGAACAAAGCGAGAAAATTCGCCAATTTCGAGAAAAGTATGGCTCCTCAGAAGTAGGAAAAATAGAGGTTGGACGGAATGGCCATGACGAACATAACATGGAAGGGGTATTCGGACGAGATTTCAGTAAATCCAATTGCACGGAGAGTTGACCACATCAATCCAGAACTGTATAGAACTGTCTTTCACTGTCGCTATGGGTCATGAAAAATTGTTTGAACTTCTTACATGGGTTCCCTTGTGATCGGTGCAGCCTCAACAATGCCGGTGAAACTCGTCCAAGGATACACACGGGCCAATCTTTGAGTCTTCATAACTCCCTAACTAGGCCGTTTTCTGACTTGATAGCGCCAGATGTGGTATTAGAGGGGCCTCAAATTCGTTCTATGGGGAAATCCCAGGAACCATTTTTATCGTAAACTGTGCCTTTAATTCTTTCTAGGAGAAAAACAGTCGAAATGAATTTGGCATCACCCTGGCTTTTTGAATGGGAACGCAAAGGTTTTCGGTGGGGATCGGATTAGCTCTCATTGAGAATGGGATGTTGAACTGAGGAAAAACTGGGATATCAACTATTGTACTATTTTATCCGAAAAATAAAACTTGCAAAACGCAGTGGCCCAGAGAATGTTTTTTTATCGGCTACGATGTTTTCCCCTGTTTACTGCTTTACGTAAAAAGCAAAATTTTTAGAGCAAATTTTTTAACGCTGAATGTTTTTGTATCTTCGCTCTACGCCACAGAATTATCACCGGAAGCGAAAAAACTAGTTTGAAAACTTTTTTCTTGACATCGTTCTATCCAACTTCGGAAGTTAATCGGGCTTTCAAAAGCCAGGACAAGCTAACAAATGAAAGGATGGTTTTGATGGCATAAATTATTGGGTTGTCCGAAAAGTTTCCGCCGATTTTTGACACTCCAAATTTATCAACCGTTGTACAAAAGATCGAAGACCCAACCTAATAAAGTTATATGTTTTCTGAAAGAGTAGGTCCTCTTCTGTTGGGATTCTGTCAACATTTGTTGAATTTTGTCTGTACAGGACTCGTATGAAAATGGAGAACCACTGGGCGCATTTCCGACATCTGGAGTATTTCATCTACCGCAAGGCCTAGAATGCGACTCAAGCCGCATGAAAGATATATGACGTTTGAGTAGATCATGCTCTAGAGGAGCGTACAGTGCATGACTAGTTTGCGAAATCCAATCGGAGTGAATTTACCTTCGAAGACCGGCAACCTTCAGGGAGACTATCGTCAGTTTAAACGACCAACTCAAAATGTTCACCGAAGCGAATCGGCACATCACTGCTCGTGTAGTAGGACGAGGGCTTACCAGGGAGGGGTAGTCTACTTATCTTGGAACTTTGAATCCAGACCCAGATAAATCGATAGAGTTTTGAATGCTGTTTACGAAAATGGAAATTAAAACTGCAAAA